GCCAAACAAAAGCAGGCCAGCTCACAGCAGGGTGCCTGGCGGATTCCGCTCGGGTAGGCGAGGACCAGAGACAGGGGAACTACTGCGGGGCGGGCCAAAGGGAGGGCAGTGCTGTGGCCTGGGACAGATTAACGGGATCCTGGCGTGGCGGGGGAGCCATTAGGCAGTTGGTTCTGTAGCCACTTCTCTCAGAGAAGGATGGGCAGATTACATAAAGATGGAGGGGTGGAAGGGTGGGCTAGTGGATGGAGTCACTTGGTGGGAAGGGAAGAAGGTGGACAGGGATAGACATAACAGCAGCAGGCAGATTATTGAACGAGGCGTGGAAGGGCAGATGGACACACAGTTGGATGTGACAGATAGATGGCAAGTGGGACCGCTGGACAAATGGATGAACAAACTAATATGCCCTTGAGTGCTCTAAGAAAGGGCCAAACAGAACCACAGGAACCACAGATTTGGGCATACAGTTGTAGCAAGTCACAGGAGTCAGCTTTGCATTCATTTTTCATGGTGACAGCATTTTTCCTGAGGGACCAGAGTCCCCATCCCCACCTTCTCTAGGGTCACCATGTGCCCAGAGCAAGCGGCTTAAGCCTAGCCCAAAGTATGACCAACTCAAAGTAGTGTTCCCAGAGTTCTCCAGGCTTGTCCCAAAACACTGGTAGGAGGAGACTGGCAGTGGAGCACAGAGCACCTGACTTCTGAATACAATAAGTCCTGTGGCCAAAAATATCCTGAGCCCACAGCTAGTAGGCTCCTGCTTGCACAGCCCAAGCTATGTGCATACACTTCATACCTGCCATGAGCATAGACATAGACACCCTCTTAAAGGCCAATTGTCCAAAGTTCCTCTCTGCCCTTTTACAGTTGATGCCTGGTATATAGCACAGGTTCTGCTCTTAGTTTAGGCATTCCCTGACATGGGCTAAGAGCTGCAAAACCAGATCTGTTCAGGGGCTTTTATAGGTATTGTAGTCACCTACCATGAATCAGTAAAGTGAAAAACATCAGAATTCAATAAAGTGAAAACCGCTGCTTTGCAATCCTTGCTTCAAACAATTTCTATAGAATATGATGCTAGAGTGGTGACATATTTATCAAGAACTTAACAACTCTGGTACAGGTCTTCATTAGAGACATTTTTTATTAATTTCTCCTTTTATTTTTTTTTTAGGAGAACACAAATATGGCATTGTATAGGCTTATCTAAGCATGTTATGCTTATTAACTCACTTAAAACCTCATAATAATCCAGTGAGGAAGGTACTACTATTTTACAGATTAGGAAAACAGAAGTTAAATTAACATTAAGGTGACACAACCAATAAGTGATAGGGTCAGGTTTTGAACATAGATATTCAGACTCCAGAATATAGGCTTTTCTAGGTGCTCTACTGCCTCTCTAACTGGGAATTTAATAGGTTACATAGTAAAAATGAGGCAATGAATACTAAGTCTCTCTCCCTCCAAAGGCTGTCAATCTTCCTGCCCAGAGGAAATCACAGTTAACAGTTTCCTTCTGGAAAAATGCAAGGTATACATAAAAGCAAGTATCTAAATACATAAATTGTATACCTAGCTCTAGCTTTTATAACAGAAATAGAAGCATTTTATATCACTGCTACCAACTCCTTGTCTTAACAGATACTTGAATTGTTTTCCATATCAAAAGATATAAATCTATTTAATTTTAAGAGCTGCTAAGTAATCCATTCTAAAGAAGTAATATAATTTAATTCATTCACCCTCAAGATTTAGTTTATTGTTATTTTCTTTTATAAATAATGCTACCACAAGCATTTATATATTTACTGTCTTTCCTCATCCACACAGGTTTATTTCAGAATGATAAGGATGAAGGAGAATTTTTGCTTACATTTAAAAATTTAATACACATTGCTAACTTACTGTGCAAAGTGGTTATATGAATTTATAAATGACTGATTCTGAAATTTCATATTTACTAAGTGACATTTATCTTTATAAAATTCTAAGCATTGGTAGAAAGGGAGTTTTTGCTTTCTAATTACAATTAGGTAGTGTCCAAAGTTAGTTTCTTCATATGTTCTTTAACAATACCCTCAGATAGAAGGGGTAATTTTAAAATTCTTGTCACAGTTTCTTGGATAGTATGTGCCATATAATAAAGTATACTCAGAATTTCGAACTAGAAAAAGTCTGGCAATGCTCTTTATTGATTAACAATTATGTACCTCCCTCCCTCTCTTTTTGCTTTGGCTTCCAGGATGCTCAAAAGTATATTTCATGTTGAATCATATCAGTATTAGCCAATAAAAAAGCATCCCTATTTCATATTAAGTTAGTTTTCTATTTTAAAAACCTAATAGCATCTTACACTGTGAACCTCTCAAATCTATTTTGGAAGTAGATGAATAAAATTTAAGTGATATTAAAATTTTAAAAAAGATCAGGCAACACAGGCAAGATAAGAGGCAAAGAGAGAAAAATGGGCATAACTTTCATTCCCTTCCTGTTTGAAGTGTGTATGACAATTAACTATTATTGTTCTTCAGAATCCTCCTTAGAAGATAACAAAATAGGAAAATCCATCCTCATCTAGTCTTTCCTTCTTTGCAAATGAACAACAAAAATTTGAATTTCAGGACAGAAAGGGAACTGGGAGACTATTTAAGCTAACCCAGCATTTTATAAATGAGGAAACTGAGGCCCAGTGAGATGAGATGACTTACCTGAGGCCACAGCTCTAGGAAAAGACAGAGGCAGGACTAGAACGCAGGTAGCTGGAGATCCAGGCAAAGGTGCTCCCTCACTGTGTAACACGCAACTCAGACGACTTGGGGTGGTAGAAAGGAGGAAGAGAAGGTGACCCCACAGCCCCTAGCAACAACAACAACAAAAAAAGGACTTAGGCACTCATAAATAATTAAGCAATTAGCTGCTGCAGCTACTCCTCTACCCCCCTCCCCTCCAGCATCCAGTCACCAAGGCAACTTGGGCAGGGTGCCTGCTGGTTGCCTAGTAACAGTGTGGTCTGCTCCCCTGACATGCTCCCTAGGCATCAAAGGATTTGAGAGCTGAGAAGAGCCTGAGACAGGGATCACTATTCCAGAACCTTCATTTTCTAAATGGGGAAATGGAGGCTCAGAGAAGCCGAGTAACCTGCCGAAGGTCACACAGCTACTCAGAGGCACAATCATTTTCAGTTGCTTTCCATTGCACTAGGGCTGCCTTGGGAATGCTGCACATGGAGGAGAGGAGAGCTCTCCACCATTCCTAGAAGAATAAGAAAGAGTAAGCAAGCAAGCAAGCAAGCAAGAGACAGAGACCTTGAGCTCTCATATGCAATTAGCAGGAGCTGGTAATCCCATCAGCTCAACTTTCACCATCACCATGGCAACATGGGTGAGGTGGGTGCTTGTTGCCTAGTAACAAGTGGTCCTCTCTCTTACACTCACATCCTGCTCCCTGGGAGTCACAGGAACAGCAGAATGTTGTAGCTGGAAGGGAATGCAAAGGTTTCTAACTCAGGCTCTCTTAGACCAAGGAAGAAATCGAGTTTCACTCAGGCTTTCTTAGACCAAGGAAGAAATCGAGTTTCTGACACACTGTAGAGAAATCATACTGTCACAGACCCACTACCGGTAGGGGCTCATTGTTGCCCAGCCAGACTCTCCTGAATTCCCTTCATATATTGCTGCATCACAGCTTTGTGGGAAGGGAAACAACTCAATAAAGTTAAAATGGGGTCTAGGGAAAAGAAAAGGAATGGCTAGTCCCAGCAATCTTTCTACCCTTACCCAGATGGTGGCAATGCTGCGCAAAAGGCCTGCACACAGTAGGTGTACACAGGAGGCACTATACCCAGTAGTCAGACACAGGGCCTCTAACATCAGAAAACCTGGGTCAATGACCAGCTTGCCCCAAACCTGACAAGCTGCTTATCCCCCTAAACCTCAGTTTCCATGTCTGAGAAATGGGCAACAATAGTTCTTAACTCTTGAGTTGTAATTGGATTAAATAAAGCATGAGTTCAGTGCCTGGTATGTGTGTTAGGCATTCATTTATTGTACATTCAGTAAATATTTGCTACTTGTCTGCTATGCAAATGTCACTGTTCCTAGGTTCTTAAGATTCATTAATGAGCAATACAGACAAAGGAAATCCCTGTCTCAGAGAGCTTCCTCTCCAGTGGAGTGATATATACAATATATAATTTAAATGTTTGTTGAATGGGTGGAAGAACTCACTGGCAATGTGCTGTGTTTATGTTATTGGACTCCTTCTCTAAGACTGAGAAGTTTCCTGTGTACAGGATGTGAAGCTATAAATACGCAGGCTGTTTTGTATGTGGGAACTCTGTTTTCCTTTCTTTTAAAAACTCAGAAGAAAAAGGCAGGCAGTAGCCATTAGATGGCAGACCTCAGTTTCCCTAGGTATAGGGCACAGACCCTGACTGAAGCCTCCAGCAAAGTCAAATGCTGCATCAGGTCAGATCTAAGGTGATAGCATGGAGTCGTGGGGAGACTTGGAACTCCTCTAGGACATTGGAGGTGTTGGGGGGGGTAGATTCCTCAGCTGGATCAAGGAGCATAACAAGAGCCCCCTCAAAGGGCTGCATCGAGGCATGAATGAGAAAGTAAGTAAAGCACCATGTAAGCTACACATAGTGAAAACTCAAATAATGTTACTTATCCAGAATCTAAGAGACCTGTGAAGGCCTGATTTAGGGTTGCAAATGGAATGAAGAAGGGTAAAGGAAATAGCATTTGTTAATCACTTATAATGAGAAAACTCAGGACTCCTAGCCCTAACCCTGGAAAAATGACACAAAAATTCATATGTCACACAACCCATACCCATAACTATCAGTCAGTCACAGTGCCCTCCTGCACCCCTGGTTGGTCTTTCATCTTTATTTCCACTGGTACCACCCACTCCAGGTGCTTTCTCCTGAATTCCAGTCAAGGACAACTCTCCTAACCAGTCTCCTGGCTTCCAACATCTGCCTCTCCAACCCCCTGACAGACAGCAGCCTGAGCAATTATCTCCAAACCCCAACTCCATCACACCTAAAGTCCATTACAGGTTCCTAATACTCTTGGGATAAAGCTCAAATGCTTGACAGAGGCTACCAAAGCTCAGCATCTTCTAGATCCTTCCTGCTTCTCCAACCATATGACAGTACAATCTCCTTCCTCGAAGTCCCTCTGTGGGGTGAGGCATCTGCACAAACCCTTCCCTCTCCTGAACTCTAGTCCTTCTGTTCTGCAAGGCTGGCTCTTTCTACTCAGGCCTACTGGCAAGATAGTCCTCCCCTTCCTGATCTCCTCCTTGGCAGAGGTCACACGTGACAGCTATCTCCCATAGCAGACTATCTGACCAAGAGGAACAGGACTGCACACCTCCAAGCCCCTGCAGCTCGGCACCTGGTCACCACCAGGATGGCACAAAGGTTTGTAAAATAAGTGAATCCGGTATGCAACCGCAATTATTGAAAGGAATAGCCTATGAATTCATCTTCCAATTTCTAGTCTTTCTCTTCTATCATTCTATCCTTTGCAACTATGGTATAGTACTCTTTCTAAAAAGCTCCTTTTTCCTGCTACTTTTTTGCTCCAAAGTCCTAAATGGCTGCCTGTCCCTCATAGATTGATACCTGAAATCTCCAGTGTAGCACTGGGAATCCTCCTCATCCAAATAAATTCCTTTGCAAATATATGTTCAAATATATTTAGGTAGCTATATGTATATATACCTATATTCTATATACTTAGAAATACACACACACATGCACACATACATATATGTTTAGGAATACCAAGCTTCCAAATTCCAAGTTCCTAGTACTCTTGGTATGTCTTCAGCTCTCCCCACATCATGAACACTGAAGAGGAGGCCTGTTGTTCTCTCCTGGGTCCCCAGCTACTAGTGTAGTGTCGAGCACATGGAAGATTAACATCACTGACTTGATGCACCCTTACTCCCAGGGGGTAAACAACTGTAACAACTGTGTACACTCATACTGTCACACTTTTGCCCAAGACTTTTTTTTTTTCCTGCACATTCAAACTCTCTAGCCATCCTGGACAAGTGTTATTGCAGGAGATTAGCCACCAAGTACATGCTTGAAAGTGCAGGAGATTGAAAGTGACCCAGAGCCACACCTGAGCACACAGCCATGCTACTTTCTCTTGCCCTGACAAAGGAACCTTTTAAAATAACTGATTTCATCTGGTTGAGAAAGATGTCATAAGTATTTGGTTATGTGGCCACTTTAAGAAGTCAGATGAAAGAACAGGATTTTGCTGGTGGGAGGAACAATGATTCATACAGTTAACACTTACTATTGAACACTTACTTTGGTACCAAAGCTTTTCTCCATTATGTGCAGTAAAAATCTTTATCAAATAGTCCTTATTAATGCTCCCCCAGGCCAATGCATAGACCAGAGTTGTGAGTAACTGCATAGATCAGAAACTGGGCCTGAAGAAGAAGGCTGGCAAGTCTTAGTAATCTAATCTTCACAGTTCTTAGAGAGGGAAAGATGGACAACAGAGAGGTAACATGACCAACGGAATGTCCAAAATGTGTGTTTGCACCCACACTTAACTGCTGCTTGATGTGTCCACACAATGGTGGTTGCTTCTTTGTGACAGTTCTTGGTGGCAAGAGCCCAACATGTTCTAGGCTGTATGAACACAGGTATGTTCTCTTCTGGACTTTTTGGACATTTAAAGAAAGAAGAAAGGGGGACCAACCATCCCCCTTTCACATAACCACAAGTTTGCTTGAGACTTTTCGGACTTGAGCATTGTCAGTCCCAGAAAACCCATGCTGTCACTGGGCAGACTGTAGGGCAGACCATTGTGGTGGATGATACTGGGAATGCGGGTGATGCTGGGAGCTTGGGCTCACCACTTGGCTTCTGCTTCCCCTGGAGGCACTCACTATAAAGTCAGCCTGCAGTGCTTACTGAGCGGGATAAGTCAGGACTGAGCTGGTTTCTTCTTTATAGCTAAGAAGCTACTTTAGGGATAAGATTTTGGTTTTCTGCTGTCAGTTATAACTCAGACATCATTTGGGGGAATATCCTGCCAGACAGTCTGAGGAGAATACTGTGATTTCAACTATTTTGAACCTTAATTAATCACTGCTTACAGCATAAGAAATCCTAATGCAGAAAATAGTAACTTGCTCAGCAAAATACTAGGGTGTGAATCCTGTTACAAAAGGACCACCTGCATCTTATTTCACATTAGCCTAAGCTCCTTGAGGTGGGAAGCTTGCTTGCTTCTGTGGGTCCTCACTGGTTATTATAAAGACTGTTTATATAGTGAATACTCACCAAATGTCTGAATAAGGAATCTCTCTATGTTTAAAACATTCACAAAAGTGTATACTGCAGTCCTTTATAAGTCATTTATTCTTAAGAACTGAGTGTTCTAAAATTTGAGAAGCCATTATCACTTGATAGTAATTAGAAAAGGAAAATAAAGCAATTTTTGAAACGAAGCCACATTATTTGTTCTCCAAAAACATGTAATTGCATAAAATTTTCAGAACTAGAGCTACTATGCAAATCGTGCATTAGGAATCATGACGATATTTTCCAACAGTGTTTTAGCCCAAAAAACTTCAGCAGTTACTTCTACTATCAGTAGGAATACAGAGTTATACTGTCAATATTTTTATTCCTTTCCTGATGGTTTTCATTTGCTACATATTATGCATATAATTTCAAATTGCATATTATAGTATTTCTTTAAATGTTTTTGTTTTGAGGCTACCAGAAGGTGGGGGACGGGGGAGACAAAAGAGCGTGCCCAATAGACTATGGTGGAGGATTACTGGAGTTTAAGCTGTGAGCATGATGGGAA